CAACTAAGAACGGCTGTCGGCGTGATCTGGAGGATCAATAGATATCGTGAATTAAAAATGTTATGTATGCATATTATTACACGATCAAATAGAGAAACTAAATCTCAACAGACCAACGAAAACTGCAACATGATAGCTTTTCGCTAACTGAAGATATTGACGATCAAAGTTGGTAAAAGGATTGATGACAGCCACCCTCTCTAATAAAATTTTGTTTGTTTTGTTGTTTATTTGTGCGGTTCGATTGACGGGATGATTCCACATTCAATATTATGTTCTGGTGTCTTGTTTTGATACTCTGATTTTTTATCTTTTTGGTGATGTATTCTGTTATCCAAATCGATGATAGTGGAAACAACAGTGGCTGTTGTGCAGGAATAATGGTTGACTCCCCAGCGAGCACAAACATCCCTGGGATGTTTTGAAAATGTTGGCATGAAGATGTTATTTTGAGACGTAATATGCACTGACCAAAGAGGTCTTTGAAGGATATTGAAGTATTGTTTTTGTTCTTCTGTGGCATTTCTTTGTTTGCTTACTGAGAGGTATCCCTGGGATGTTTTGGGATGTTTTACAAATTTAGGCATGGGGATGTTTTTTTGAGGCGTAATATGCACTTCCCAAAGAGGTCTTAGAAGGATATTGAAAGTACCGTTTTTGTTCTTTTGTGCCCTTTTTTTGTTTGTCCCACCACAACGTCTCATGCTTACGTCACAATACGAATTCTGATTTGTTTTCGATTTTGTTCTTCTTGTTCGCAATTGGCATTCGCGTTTGCAGCGTGTCACGCTTACATCACGCTGCTAACGAACAGAAAGGAATTTGGTGAAGTTTATTGTGTTAGAAGACTTATTTAGTTTGTAATAATGACCATCAGATGCCAGATGTGTTGTTCGGTGCCTCAGTGTGATCAATATATAAAAGTACGAATTTATCAATACACAGCTTCTCCGCAGTTGCAAAATTATGCATTGTGGAAGAACATTTCAAAAATTGGGAAACCTATTTCCAATTATATGTCTGTGTGTAGTAAGCACTACTCAGAAACCGATTAAGAAGTTTATTTCATATCAAGAAAATATTTTCATGTTCAATCTATTTTTTATGCATTTTTTCATTCAAGGAAAATGGAATCCTAATGCAGAAGTTCATTTTGACAAAAGGCTTCAGAAAAGTACCTCGAAAATGGTTTTTTTACAGCGATTTAATGTGCGCAAGACGCGTTGAAAATGTTTTGTTGTGTCCATGAAAAGGCATTGAAAAGAACTAGGGCGAAGGTAGTTTTGTGACATATCAAGGACATCTCGATAATTGCCGCCTGCGGCGGACATTGGCTGTTCTATAATAGTTTTATTCATGTGTGAACAGAACATCGCAGTGGAGGTTCAATGTCTCGAAATCTCGTACTTTTAACATCTCTGAGATGATTTTGTGCTCGCTGGGTCTTGTGTTTTGGCCGCCATTTAAAGGACAGTCGAAACTATAAGCTCTGAATAATTGTTATTTCTGAAATTTATGAATATATCATTTAAAAACTAGGTTTCCTCTTATTACATTGATCCTCATTCAAGTAATGATTAGAACAAACCTCAAAACGAGAAGTTTGTGCATATTTTTTTAAGAATAGACGTCGCTACGACGTCCAAAGCTAGTCAATAACGTCAGTTTCAAGCAATAATTGAACACCGCATTGACGCCCAAAAGATCTAAAAAGTGATGTCAATCAGCTGTGACTTACTCACGTTATTTAGAAGTCAGTTTGGATAGTATAAAATACGTCTTCTGGCCGAATGTGATGCCGTTGTTTAGACGTTAGACGCCATATAGTCGCCATGTGCTACCTGGGTATTTGGGTTTTTTGTTATAAATTAAAATATTCTATTCCCGTACATGATAGAAAAAACTAATGTTGGTGCATGTTGATCAATTCACATAACAAACTTAATGGTGAAAACCGCATATTGATATCCATCTTTATTTCAGAGTTACAAGGTGTTTTTCGAAAATGTGAATTTTTGAGAAGTGGCTAACACTTTTTTTTTTTTGAAAAAATTCTTCGTTTTCATGAAAACATTTCCAAAGCTTTGTGTTTGTCATGAGAATTGATCCTCAGGCACTGAAATCAATCACCGTATACCTAGTTGCAAAATAGAACTTTTCTTTTAAGAAGTTATATTTTTGAACTAGATATAGGAACGCCGAATTTCAGTGCCACGAGAACAATTTTTATCACAAACTCTATGTCTTGCAGTTATTTTCATGTAAACAGAGAATTTTTGCGAAAAAATATCTGTAGCCACTTTTCAAAAATGATTTTCGAGAAACACCTTTTAACTCCGGAACGAAGACAGATATTGATATGCGATTTTCATCAATGAATTTTTCATGAGAATCGACTCTCAGGCACCGACTTTCCCATTAAAAGTGTCCAATGTGGCCCACCCTGTACAGGGCTAGTTTTATTAATGTGAACCTCCCTCTATCTTTTTTGTTTTTACACCCATTCAAATAATTTCGAAACTGATTTTATGCAATTTTTCACACAGATTTCACTCATTTTGACAATGATGCACAATCTATTCGAATATACAGGGTATACAAGAAAATATATATTTTTCTAATGAAACGCCTAGTATATTTTGATAAATTTGAATTCTCCAAATCATCCTGATTTCAAACAAATATATGGAAGGATCTCAATCTATTAAAATATACAGTGCATTCCATATGAAAAAAATCTGTATAAACTACTCAACACTAATTTCGTCGCACACCAAAATGTCGCCCCTGATATAATGTGAATAACTTTTTTCAGTTTAGAACAATTTGAATTTGGTTCACACTGTTCGATAGCCCAGTCCTTCAGCTATAATCTGGTACTTCATTGAAACATGAGGGTATTCACATAAAATCTCTACATGGTGTTTTCCGACACTGTGCGAAATTTCGGAATATTCAAAAGGCTCTCAAATGGTGAAAAACATTTTTTTCTCAACTTCGACAACAGAGGCATGAAGATGATCTCATTACCTCGAGATATTTCGCGAATCAACTTCCTATCTCTCTTATTTACAGAGTGATCTCAAAAAATCAACTTTTTGGTTTTGCAGCCATAACTTTTTTCCACGTCAACCGATTTCGGAAATCTTAGGCTCATTTTGAAGGTAAAACTTCAGATGAAGAGATCTGAATATCAGAATTGACTCAAAATGGCTATCAAAGATCTAGAGTTTTCTTGAAAGTGACCCAAATCTGGAACGCCCTCCGAATCTCGGTTGGGAGGAGAATTGAATGAAAATCGACTTGTTCTCGGAAAAACAATTCATTCTGCTGGATGCGTCCATATTTTCCTCGCTCTCAGTACTCAAGAATGTGCGTGAGAAAACACAATTGAAACATGTTCTTGCAAAAACATCAGACCATTTCTCCTCTGTAATGCATGGCCCGTAACCAACGTTACAAGAATCACAGTAAGTGACTGACAAGTCAGGTTAGACGTCGTTTTCGAATCATAAACAGATTTTGATAGTTTCGATGCCGCATCTAACGCCCGACCAGTTGGAACTGATTCCACAAATGAGGGAACAAGGGTTATCTTCCCTCCAAATCGCGGATCTGCTAAACACGACAGCCCGATCCATTCAAAGGGCTTATCTCCGACACGAATTTTTCGTTCATTACTGTCGATTCGTTCGACGCATTATTGCGACTGAAAACTTTACGTAATTGGCAAACTGTTTTCGTGAAACTTTAACCATTTTTGAAATGCGTTTTCACAATAAATAAACGTTGTTTGCTTGAATACTTCTCCATATTCTTAAATCGCATGTTATGTACGTGACAACTGTACAAAAAATCACTTTATTGAAAAAATCAAAATCCGTTGCTCTTGTTGGTACACCATTTATGATGAGTCTCAGCTGGTCGGGTTTGTCAGTCACTCATTGTGATTCTTGTAACGTTGGTTACGGCAGGCCATGCATTACAGAGTAGAAATGATCTAATGTTTTTGCAAGAACATGTTTCAATTGTGTTTTCTCACGCACAATTCTTGACTTCTGAGAGCGAGGAAAATATGGACGCATCCAGAATGAATTGTTTTTCCGAGAACAAGTTGATTTTCATTCAATTCTCGTCCCAACCAAGATTCGAAGGGCGTTCCAGATTTGGGTCACTTTCAAGAAAACTCTAGATCTTTGATAGCCATCTTGAGTCAATTCTGATATTCAGATCTCTTCATCTGAAGTTTTATCTTCAAAATGAGCCTGAGATTTCCAAAATCGGTTGACGTAAAAAAAAGTTATGGCTGCAGAACCAAAAAGTTGATTTTTTGAGATCACCCTGTAAATAAGAGAGATAGGAAGTTGATTCGCGAAATATCTCGAGGTAATGAGATCATCTTCATGCCTCTGTTGTCGAAGTTGATAAAAAAATTTTTTTCACCATTTGAGAGCCTTTTGAATATTCCGAAATTTCGCACAGTGTCGGAAAACACCATGTAGAGATTTTATGTGAATACCCTTATGTTTCAATGAAGTACGAGAATATAGCTGAAGGACTGGGCTATCGAACAGTGTGAACCAAATTCAAATTGTTCTAAACTGAAAAAAGTTATTCACATTATAACAGAAGCGACATTTTGGTGTGCGACGAAATTAGTGTTGAGTAGTTTATTTCTGTATTCCCTGTATATTTGAAGAGATATTGCAACACTCTCTCAATATGATTGAAATCAATATGAAATATCGTTAAAAAATCAGGTTTGAATCTTCTTGAATGGATAGAGAACAAAGAAGATGAAGGGGGGTTCACATTAATAAAACTAGCCCTGTACATAACTCGTTGGAAAGTTTATTTCATGCACTCGTTACATTTACGCACTCGGCGCTACGCGGCGAAATATGTCAATTTCCATACTAGCAATGTAATATACTATTTCTAGTGAATTCTCTCTGGACAGGTGAATTACCAGGACTATGGGAAAACGTATAATTTCTTACCTCTAACAACGTTTCTTCGGGCAATTCTGGCGCAAGAAATGTTATTGGATGGGCGTCGTTGGTAGTGGACGTTTCGTTGAAGAACGTGGGATAGTTGTCCAATTCTGAAATTTCAGGTAACGTTACCGCGCGAGTACAGAAAGGTATTACCGGTGATCGACCCAAATTGTTGTTGTCGTTGAGATTGGGGCTGCTCAGCATCGGCACCCTGGCAAGTGGACCACTCAATATGGGAGGTGAAGTTCCTGAAAAAAAAAGAAAAAAATAATAATAAGAAATTTAACCCACAATAAATGCTTGCATATAGTAGGAGAGCCAGCTGCAAATTTCGACAGTCATCTGATAAGAAGAAGGAGGATTGAGAAGCATTAGTAGCAATAATATCGTACTCTTTTTTGTTTCTCTTGCTCTCGTGCAGCGGAGATATAGTGTTCGTTTTTGTAACCAAAAGTGCACCGGCCGGTTGTAATGACATTAACTTGTGATGCAGCTCCCGAAATATTACATAATACATTATCATTCAGTAGAGTACGAAAAACTTGCAAACTGCTAAGGAAATCATAGGAAATCAAAACGCTATCCTCTCCGACAATCTATTAGCCATCAAAGCGTTGAGCTCTTTCAAGATCAACTCAAAGATGGATAGGGAATGCCTAGACAAACTCAACAATCTAGCCAGAACCAATAAGGTAATCCTCTTCTATATGCCGGGGCACGGGAAGGAAAATGCACGAAAAGGAACCTCAACACCACTGATCGGACCAAAAGCATTTTGCGGCCTTGGAAATTCTCATTTCCAAGAAGAAGCTGATGAAGCGATGTGAGCAACACACTAGCGAAAACTGTCAGGACTGCGACAGGCCAAAGATCTCCAGCAGGATCGGAGACACTGACTTACCTAAGCAAAATGAGAATCAAAGCAATAAGAGGATTTTTAACGGAGCATTGTAGTCTCAAAGAACATCTGAGTATATTGGGCTTAGAGGAGGAGAGCACCTGCAACTTCTGCAGGGAATATCTAGAAACAACCCACCAAATCATGCTGGCGTGTTATGCTGTACATTACAAAAGATCGAATATACTGCGACCATACCAGCTAAGTGTGGGAAAAACACCACAAACAGATCCTCTCAAAATCCTCAAATTCCTGTGAGATCTTAAGCTTGAGGGGCTGCTATAAACTAGGGAACCTTGAGATGGCAGAAGATGATGGACACAGTAGATCTAATCAGGTCATAAGGCATCTGTCAATATCCACAACTACCAATACCGATACACACTCAAACAGAATTCATATAGTATGAACAACTACTGAACACCTCATACATTCCGCTATCTAACATCTGAACAGAAATAGTTTTTTTTTTATCGCTTGGAGCGCACTATTTAAAATGTAAACTTTCAGTTTGAGTTAAATATCTGAAGAACTGTTTATTTCAGCTCAGTCGAGAATTCTGTAATTTTTCAACAAAATCAATGGCGTAAAAATCATGATAGGAAGTTACAACCCCATTAGCTTCATTCTTGTCAGGGAACATGTTCAACAGGTCAGTATTGTAGACCAAAAAATATTGAAATCGAAAAAGCGCCAAGGATAATCATTTACAAAGTCAATTGAACGAATAATTTCAAAGTGGATTATAAAAGTGAGGAATATTTGCATCCGAATAGCGTACTCCCATCTGTTGGCAAGAGTTTGATAACTGACTTTCATCAGATGACTTTCTTTTGACACTTGAGTCCAGTTCATTTGTGTTTTCTCAACCAGCGGAACATTTTAATTTCCTGAAATTTTCTTTGTCTACATCATACAATGAGCAGAGATCTTATAAGACACAAAAATCAGCTTCATCAGGTTGAGCAATACTAACGAATAGACCTTATGAATTGATGTAAATGTCATTGATGTTGTCAAAATAGGTATCTTTTGAGCCTCATGTCCAACTTGATACATTCCAGCTATTGATGTATTCCTAACTCAGGTCCAGAGAACGTTATATCAAAATAAGAGACATGAATATTTACAATATTTATATACTTTAGCAGAATAAGGGAGAGGAAGTGAAGTAAGGTTAGGTGTCCAGATAAGTCAGAACTTATCAAAGAACGATACGAGTTTCGAAATCCATTAGCTGTAAGACAATTTACGAATATCGGTACATCACGCTAAAACAAGTTGATGAACTATCACTAACCTGATCTTTTGAGAGGTGAATTAGTCGGCATGGTCTTGGAAGTGGATACTGGTGAAACAGTCCATATACTTGGGGGAGGCGGTGTCTCACAAAGGCTACCAGAAGTGGACCGTCTTCTTCCACCTGGTGGTGTACCGATTACAAACTGAACCTATGAAAAATAATTTCTTGAAAAATTTCATTGAGAAACAATACACATACAAAACGCAACTGAACCAATACATTGTATCCGAAGTGGTCAATCACTTGTACAGGGTTCGACAATGAAACGGGGCTATTTGGGCTGATGCTCGGAGTGCGCTCTAAGTAGTGGTGCAGATGAATGTTGTCGGCCTGTCAGGACCCGCATGACTTACCATTTTTTTACAATGAAGACGTTGTCAGTTCTCGGCATTCAGCACATGTTGCCAAGTCCCAGCCAACATTTAGATGATGTTTTATTATGGAATATAAGAAATATATTGCTCGAGAAAGTAAAAAATGAACAATTATATAATGGCTTCCTCCTATTAGGTCAAATGAAATAATCAATTTGAATGTAGTTTTATTCAACAAAAGGACTCTAACAACTTTTCAAGGACTTGATTATAATTGGTGACTTGACAACATTGTTCCATGAATGGGAAAGGGAGATTATCTGACCAATAAAGAAACAGCATAAGAACTGACGTCACCATCTATCCGACGTATCCCAGAACAAATGGCGGCCATGACGGCACGTTTGAAATGAGTTTCGAACAACGCATAGACACATTATTTACATCAAAAACGCGTAAGACGTGTTGCAAAAATTGATTAATTTAGGTCCCTAATGATACTGTGGAGTGATTGAATGCCAATTATTCCACTATCAGTCCAGTAGCCCATTGATGTCATACTCGCCAAATTTTGTTCAGACAATCTCTTGTGAAGGGTGTAGAAGATCAAAATCGTTGTTATTTAGGTCAATGAAGGCTAACATTTTTTATCTCACTAGTTGGCGCTACTACTGGTTGAGATTTATGTCAATATCAATATTATCTTGATGTTGCTGGCCTGGCTTCTCGAAAATTTGCCGCAACATTTTGTGTCTTATGTGAACGAATACAACATATCTCATTACCTCCCATGCCGAACTTCAAGTCCAATTTTTACAAAAAGATAACATGTTTGGCATGGAAGGGGCCAAATGAAGTAAAGGAAGAAGGCTACCTATTAAACAACCTTGACCTCACGTCTCAGTAGCGCGATCTGGTGAACTATCAAAATATGTTAGCCCTCATTGCACGTATTAAATTTATACTTACTGATGGTGGTGACATAGAACTGATATCAATATCAGATTTCTGCCGTTCTGGTCTTTTCTTCATAGTAATCGGCTGTGATCGTGGTACACTACCACTGCCACTAGTACTCATCTGAAATCATCAAAGTATAGCAGCTAACATTCGGTAAAGTACTGATGATTAATCATTAGTGAGTCCATCTAATCACTTGAATATATCCTGCAAGTTCGGCCATTTACTTGTAGATTAAGCACTATTTTGGGAAGCATTTATTGATATAATTGTATTGAACTACAGCATAAATACTCGAAATGGAAAGAAATGATATCAGTGAGAAAAACTCAGCTATTTCCACAAAAATTGAATAACATGAACAACAATGATGATTGACGGAAAAAAATCACTGCTTTTTTGGTTACTGCCATGCATCCGGAAACCTATGCTATGATATGTTCAAACTTATATTACCTTATACAAATAGGTATTATAGAAAACAAAATTGTCGGACATAATTCGTTTTTTTTTTTTTTTTTTTTTTATCGCTTGGAGCCTATAATGTTCAAAGAACATCGTGCGTTCCTAGGGAGGATAGGGACTGTATTTTCAATTTAATCGATGTGATAACACTCATCAAAAACCGCTACAAACTCAGTCGTTACAAAATTGAACAACTGATTCAAAATTCGATTAACCAGATGGATATTTTTCAATTACCGAGAAGAAAAAATGTGAATATCTTCTGTTCCCCTCAAAATAAATGGGATGAATAATTTTCACACAATTGAAACAGAATCCAAATGTGGTGTCTAGATCGGAGTTGTACCATATTTTTCGCTAACCAAAGAGCTCAAGGTACTCTACTAGATCGCGCATACAGGGAGAGGGTTTGAAATCATCTTAAAAGTGAGACACAGCGACCTTCAAGTGACAACTAGACGATCCTCATTCAATCTTGTAGTCATTTTGAATCGTATCTTCGCGCCTAGAGAAAGCTGGATGGAACTTCAAGTAAATTGATCAACGAAAGAACGGCAATATTATTGGAAGGGTACTGAATACTGAATGGAGACAAATATAAAATACAATCACTATGATCGACGACAAACAAATGGTAGCAAATAAGTGAGATTACCATTAATTTTCCGATAATGACTGTTCAATTTTATTCTGCGACTAAATACAGTGTCTCGATTCAAATTTCCATTTGAGAAATCCACAAATTAGTTATGAAAAAGTAGGTCAGTAGAGTAAAGTGTCAGAATGAATATTCTTAAGACACAAACTTAAAATTATTTCATAAATCTGTTAAAGAACAACTGCTTCTGAAAACTTCAGGAAGAGTATGAGGACAAATTTTGATTAGGTACCAGGCCATTTTCAAGTGATTTTTCTGACTTCATGCATACTTTCATATTCTGTACTCTATTTATTCCATTTGTACTATGTTTTAACAAAGTCTTTTATGGTATGTCGAGACAATAAAGTATATCTTGATTCAATTTCATTGACATCAACAAACCTGTGATGGAGAAGGAGGTTCTTCTTTATCCCTTTTCTGTAACTGCGTTTCGGTGTATATCTTTTCGAAGGCCTGTCGTTGAGTAGGTACAGGTATCGGCTCAGATATCGGTAAGAAGCTAGGTCTTGTAGGACTAGTAACTGGTGCACAAGGCATCGGAGATGCTCGCACTGGAAGCCTGAATCTAAATAAAGGATCTCTTCTGAAAACTCACAATTCCCGATTGTTCGTGCATTGAAAATAATAGACTAACGCGGCAACATGGGATGCAATCTTCGCGGGATTGACGCTCGGTGATGACGATGATGATTCTCCGTGTTCATGTTTTTGTATACAGTGTGTCCCTCTTTTCATGAATACACCCTGATATCGCACTTATTAATGATGCTATTCTCTTGAAATCTCAGTAGTGATTGTATGTTAGAACAATAAAGTATCAAGCAGAGTGAACAGTTTCATTCACCATTGGCGTCCAATGTTGAGGGGTCCAAAAAAGGAAATTATTCAGAAAAAAGATATAAGGGCTTATTTGAAATAGCTGTTTTTATCAGATTCAGAATCAGCATCTCCAAAAACCCCCCAATTCATGCTTTCAAAATTTTCTCGGAACTGTGATGGTGTTTGTATGTTATGTTTTCAACATACAATCACCATCAAAATTTCAAGAAAATCGATCGTTGATAACTGAGATTTAAGGGTGTTGTCATGAAAAGCAATATTTTGAAATATTTTATTTTAGCTCTTGGGAAAATATGAATTGAGGGGTTTTTTGGGAATGCTGATTATGAAGCTGATAAAAAAATTATTCAAAATGTGTCCTAATATCCTTTTCCCAAATGAAGGCCTTTTTTGTACCCCTCAACATCGCACGCCAATGGTGAATAAAACTGTTCATTCTGTTAAATACTTCCTCATTCTAACATACAATCAATACAAGAATTTCAAGAGAATCGCACCATTGATAACTGAGATATCAGGGTGTATTCATGAAAAGATGGACACATTGTATAAACAGGGTGGGGCATTAATGCCTCGAAGCTCGATTGCTCGATTGGGCGCACCGAAAAAATCTAGAGGGTCAGGATCACTTTTTTAAACGGAATGCCCTGTATATTAGAACATTTTTTGAAGCATCCCTATGACCTCCATTGACTCCTATAATATCGTTGACTATATCTCGATCATATCAAAGTTATTAATTTTTTGGTCGAAATAATGTCATATGCAGATGCATACCGAAAAAATCACTGTGGTCACAATTATGACACTTAAGAGAGAGAATAATCATAATATCATTCGATGGAAAGATGCGTGATATTTCTGAAGAATTTCCATTCCCTCAAATTATACAGGGTGGCTGAAAATTATGCATCAATCCGGAACCTTTCGAAATTTTTCAAATGGTACACCCCATACATTTTTTGGCCATTTGATGTGAACTCGAAACATGAATACTTTTATTTCAACATCCATATTGATATTCGTAGCCATTTTTGAATTATTGTACCTCGAAAATCCAGGTTGGCCATTTTCATCGATGCACATTCTTGTTCTTGTCCCAATCAATAATTTAGTAGACTAGTTTTTATATTGGGATAATTGATACCTGATTCAAAGCAAATAATAATATGCTAGTTATTTACAAAGTGAAAAAGAACAACAATTCCATTTTGTATAATTTCATGTCAATAGTTCAATTGTGAATCATTATCCAGGTTTTGTTCTTAATGTGCTATGAATATTATGTAATATCAACTGAAATTCATTCCTTTTGGTTAAATATCAAGACCATTCATATAGACCAATCGAATTGTGATAATCTACAACCTGGAACGAATTGATATTAACCAATAATTTTCACTCAAAAAGTCCTTTTTGTAATTGGTAACAGTTTTATAACAAAATGGACATTTTTCTATAGTGATGCAATATTTGGAAACTTTTTTTTGAAACCATCCACTTCTGGAAATATCATTAATAGTATCAAGGGAGCAAAGGTATCAATTTCCTCCCGCGTGTGATGTTTGATGCCAGAAACGTAGCGGAGGGCTTTAACGTGATATACCAATAAGCACCAATCATATTTCTCAACCACCAATGAATATAAAGATTGAGTAAGAATAATACCGATAAACTTCGTACAAGGATTCCAAACCTAGATTTGAGGTGAAAAGTTCCTATCAACGTATGTCCTAAAATGCATCCTCACTGAGATATAGGGTGTCGAAAGTACGAAAAAAGTTAAGATAACTCCTAATTTCTCCAGAACACCTGTAGCAAAAAAATTGAAACTTCACAGGGAGTTTTCATTTTTGACTTTCGTCAACCAGTGGCGTAGTAAGAGTCGTATGTCGCCATATTTTCCTTAAAAATTTTTACAGATGAATTATCAAATCAGTGAATGACATCAGTTAGAATAACATTATGTATGCCTAAATGTAGAGGTTCCGGAGATATTTGCGAAAAACTTAAGACATGTCTTGAGGTAATATTGAGTAGTGACCTGATTTTCTGCATACCATAATCGCATCAAGCTGATTTTATACGAGATACGGATATTACTTTTGAACTTCCGGATAATTTTGAATGTCGAAAAAAATAAAAACATCGTGTGGGTGAGTCAGAAGTAAATTGACAAACTCGAGGTTAATAGTCGTAAGCCATCATTTGTCAGAACCATCAAACTATTGAAACAACAGTTTTCAATTAAGTGATAAAGGTTTCTAAGAGAACTAATTCTGACTCACCCATACAATGCTTTGAATCTTATCAACATTCAAAGTTTTTCAGGAGGTTAAAAATTGTTTAGATTCCTCGTAAAAGTTCAGCATTATGTGATGATGGGACGCAGCGAACTGCGTCTCAACGTCAAGACATATCTTTAGTTTTTTTCAAATATCTTGGGAACCTCTACACTCAGGCATGCAGAATAGTATTACTTTTAGGTTAGGTATTGATAAGACTAACTGATGTCATACACCAATTTCACAATTCATCTGTCTAACGAAAAATATGAAGGAAAATGTGGCGATATACGACCCTAGCTACGCTACTGGTTGACAAAATTAAGAAATGTGATCACCCTGATTAATCTGAATCGGTATATCGTGTTTCATATATTTTGTACAGGGGTTCTGGAGAAACTTGAAGAAATCTTGAATTTTTTTGTACTTTTGACACCCTGTATCTCAGTGAGGATGTATTTTAGGACATTTAGGAACTTTTCACCTCAAAATGAGGTAAGAAATCCGTGTACAAAGTTTGTCGTCGGTCTCATTCTGACTCACCCTGTATATCCAAATTCCACATAGAAATAAGAATTCACATCTACAGTAGGAGTGTACTGAAATACACACAATGCATAGTTAAGTCGTATCGTACATGAATTGTCCCTCGTTTTTCATGTTATGAAATATCGTTAATTCCCATAATTATTTGAAAAATGTACAGAGCTCTGAAGAGAAAACGGTTTTCGACAATGAACAACTTTGGGTTAGTACTTCGAAATAATGAAATGATGATTTACACATAAACAGGTCCATTGAAATACTCTGAATCATCGTTTAATGGCCTAAAACTTACGTTGGTTTTTCTTTTTCCACACTAGTTTCCGGTGAATGGTCCGACTGGATTTGGATGTTTTGAGGAACTATAACATAATCATCTTCAGGACTTGAACTGAGTGCGTTTCTTGTAGATCGCGGTGATTCTACAAGCAATAAGCAATAAAATGAATGATTTAATGCAGGTTTAGTTTATAAATGCTCAAGTTTCAAACATGCAATATTAATAAAAATATATTTATTGTCGAATAAATATATCCAGACCCTTCTCAATACTGAGAAGGTAGAAAGTGGGACATAAGTTATCAACCAGCAACAACATCATTATTATATTAATTTTTAATACAGGGTGTTCAAAATAATGTGAGGAATCTCTTGGATTCAGATAGAACAGGAAGCAATGATATTGTCTCCGTTCAGAATAATGCAATCGGATTCTTAGATTTTTCACTTGAGGTTATTTTCGCTTCCTATAATTTTAAAATCATTCCACTCTGCCATTTGTCCATATGAAATTACCATCTTCAATTAAAAAGTCACCTTGTAACTCACACTTTTTTCTTACAAAATTCTGTCACCAGAAAGTATTAGGAAGCGAAAAGGGAAAATCATTTGGAAGAATGATTCTTCACAAATTCCGCAAATCCGTTCCCAAGATTTTTGTATTTTGGGAAAGCACGAATGGAAATCCCTATTACGTTCATGAAACATCGTGAGTACACTCATGCAAATAACATGTCACAAATGGGCGGTAATAGTACTTCTAGGCACTTCTGCAATTAGAGCGCTAACACCATCCAACCGTGACATTTGCATTTGACTGTACCTAGGGGCTTAACTATATCTCTAGATAGGAAGATTATTTGGAAAATCCTCAACAACAAAATTACACAATATACAGATGAAAATTATGTAGTCCTGTATCCCATGACTCTCTGTCACTAAAAACTTTAAAAATGGGTATTATTTTTTGAAAGCGTTATGTATGAATGTGAGTAGAATAGCAAAAGAGTCTTAACAAATGATCAATCCACCTCATTGTTTGAGAAACACCAAAAACACATCCCATTTAGTCAACTCATCAATAGCCCTTTGCACACATAAAAACGAATATTATTTTAATAAAAAACGTGATATGAGGTATAGTATATTGACTGGCATGATGAACCTACTTTTACCTACTGACTCACTTCGAATAAGTCCCCAACGACCACAGCCTTTTCAGGCCTGTATGGGCGAGTGGATAGTTTTTTTTTTTTCATTTTTTATTCATTGTGTGGGATTATATGGATAGAAACTGCGTATGAACGAACGAACTTTTAATCGAAAACTTAATCCGTCAATATGACAACTTGACAACTTGAATTATTATTGACATTGTCTTGATCTGTTCACTTCTTTTCATACATGGTGTTCGGGCATGAGTCCCATCAATTAGTTAGGTTGCCACACATTGCTATCCCAATATCCGACGAAGTTCGTTTTTTTTGCTTCTTATAGTTGCCAAAACCGATGTCATCAATATTCTATTAGAATAAGGCCGTTATTTTTCACAATTTTGAACAAAGCATTTGCATCTAATAATGCAACAAAAGTTTAATGCTGAAAAGATCGTACGACGTCCCACTTCAAGTAACACTAAAATAAGCCCCGAATGGGTTGCGTGCAACATCTGTCAGATGACCGACATTGGAGTTTTTTTTTTTTTTTTTATCGCTTGGAGCGCACGAAAGGGAATCCCTATAATGTTCAAAGAACATCGTGCGTTCCTAGGGAGGATAGGGACAGGAGGTAGGTATTGGAATTTTTTTTGAACTTTTGGAGATTATATGTTGTTGGGAATACTTCCACAGGCAATGAATTCCAGAGCCTAGCCGTTCTATGGATGAAGGAGTCTTGATAAAGTGCTGTTCGACATCTTTCGAGGTTGACAACGAAAGGATGTGCTGACTGGGCTTGTCTAGTTCGTCTGATTGGTATTGCTAGTGAAGGGATGATAGCAGAGATTTCCGAAGAACATTTCCCGTGGAAGTATCGATAGAAAAGTGAAAGGTCGCCGACCTTTCTACGGTGTTCCAATGATGTCAACGAGTGAGTGAGTGTGGCGTCACCCACCAGGCGAATGGCTCTTCTCTGGATGGAATCTAAGAGCATCAGTGTATGTTTTGGTGCTGAACCCCATATGTGGGAACAGTATTCTAGAACAGGCCGTATCTGCGCTTTGTAGATCATGAGAAGCTGTTGAGGTGTAAAGTAGCTTTTCGCACGGAACAAGAATCCGAGTTTTTGTGAAGCAGCTTTTGCGATGGATCTGACATGATTATCCCATGAAAGAGTGTTGCTGAAGGAAATACCGAGCATAGATATGGTGGGCTTGGTGGGGATGGTGGAGCCAGACATTACAATATCGGGCATACTGAGTTCCGCCTTTCTAGAGAAAATGCAGGCTTGAGTTTTGTTGGCGTTGAATTCAACTAGGTTGTTTGTTCCCCAGGCTGTGATTTCAGCAAGATCTTCATTGACAGCATTGACCTGCCTGCGCCTTGAGTTCTTAGTTTCCTGGGAAGAAATGGGAATTCTAGAAGAGAACGCAGTATGGAGGGTACTATCATCTGCAAAGCTGTGGATGGGGCATGTTGTTACTCCCAACAGATCATTGATATGAAGCAGGAATAATGTTGGTGCCAAAATTGATCCTTGTGGAACGCCGGAATTGATGCCAAAGGTATCAGACGATACACCGTCCACCACCACGTGAAGCGATCTGCCTGAAAGGAAACTCGATAAGAGATGGCATAGCTGAGGTGGTAAGCCGTATGATGGTAGTTTGTGGAGGAGTCCTTCGTGCCAAACACGGTCGAATGCTTTCGAAATGTCCAACGCGACAGCTAGAGATTCCCCGTGTTTTTCTATAGAAGATTGCCATAAATGGGTGACGTAGGCAAGTAGATCTCCAGTAGATCTTCGGTGGCGAAAGCCGTATTGTCTATCATTGATGATTCCTGAGCTCTCCAGATATTTGATAAGCTCAATATTGATGGCTTTCTCCATCACTTTGGAGATTACTGATAACAGGGCAATGGGCCTGTAGTTGTTGGGCAGGTTCTTGTTCCCCTTTTTGGGGATTGGTTGGACTCTAGCTGTCTTCCAGCATGATGGAAAAATACCCGACCTGTACGAGATGGTAAACAACTTGCAGAGAATCGGTGTTAATTCTGGTGCACATTTTTTGAGGATAATGGGTGGAATTCCATCAGGACCGTTAGCCTTATTCGTTTTGAAACCAAGCAAAATTCGTCTGATAGTGCGTTGACGGAACATTGAAACACAACCTTACTTTTGTTATTTGTTTACAAAGGATTGAAATAGTTTTTTTACTATCATTTTGGCATACAAATCGTGTTTTTTGGCTATTCATTAATTCAAGCATGCCATCACATTGTGCTGTTGTACAATGCACAAAAACTGCAGCAAGAGACGAAGGAATCCGATTAAAAGTAATATAGTCACTCATATAGTTTTCATTTTGAAATTTTCTCATTTCTCATTGGAATTCCTTCTGAAATAGTAGCTAATAGAAATACTCGTGAAGTTTCTGAAAGAAGGCAAGAAGACTGGATTCATGCAATCAAACGGCAGGGTCGAAGGGACTGGTCTGACAAGCTGACGAAATATAATCGTGTGTGTTGTAGACAGTTTCACTCTATTAGCAGTATTAGCTTCTATTGCAGAAGTGGCAGAAGGAATTCTAATGAGAAATGACAAAATTTCATGACGAAAACTAGGTGAGATCACTATTTACCTGAAAAATCATATTCCTTCGTCTCTCACTGCATTTTATGTACATTGAACAACAGCACAATGTGATTGCATGCTTGATTTAATGAATAGCTCAAAAAAACACGATTCGCATGCCAAAAATTGTGAAAAATCATTTCAATCATTTGATTCTTTTTTAAACAAATCAGAAAAGTGATATTGTCTATCAATGTTTTACAGAAAAGTGAGGTTGTGTTTCAATGATTTACGTCCAGGGTCGGACATCATGCACGCGACCTATAAGATTTTGACATTTCAAAGTTTGCAGTGATAAGCAAAATATAGCAGAGTTAATGATGTCAGAAACAGGTGATAAGCTATACCGACCCTGATAAGTGGTTAATGAAATTACTAATTAAAGGAACGATATTCAAGTTGGCAGGAGAGTCCGGTTATTTCATTATTGGATTGCTAGACCTCGTATCATCGTAACAAATATCTAGAGTTACTCAACAAAGACAAATGTTTTCTCTATATTCAATAAGAATTAGAAGAATGGATGAATCAACATTTTTGAGATTAATCAAAATTGGTACTAACCACTAACTTTCATTTTCCAATTCATATATATTCTTACATTCCCATTTCTATACTCAACACAAGGAGATGAAGCTAAGGCAAAAACATGATAATCAATGGGAACAATATGCGGTTTGTGAGGAGTTCATTGAGAACATAAAAAATAGTGACATTTACATTTCCTCTATAACTATAGTATTGATCCAAGTCAAAACTGTCGATTCATAATAATATGAGCCATGCAAATGATATTTAGATAGGAGATAGATTTGAAATTACGATGACATAATTATGGAGATTCGAATATATTTTAAAATATTACCAGGCTGAGATATAGGTGGAGTAGCAACTTTAATAGGTGTCGAAGCTCTTCGTGGCAGTTTAGACAGCGTTGGAGGTGAGCCATATATTGGCAAGGGAAGTTCTGAAATAAACCATTATCGAATGATAATAAATGATCAAGTTTTCAATAAAATATATAAGAAAGACTAGCGATATTCAGCAGAGCTGCTCTTCCACATAACCATTTATATATCAATGATCATTGTCGATACAAATACAAATACAAATACAAATATATTTATTAGTACTCGCAACAGCGGCCATACAACAGATGGATGTACACGTCATTTTTTTTTTTGCGAACAGTTTGATAAAAAATACATGTAGATACACAATAAATAGTAATAATACATAAATACAAAAAGAATTGTGAAAATAATACCTACACAAACATATTTCAATTTACTCTATTGAGTCGTCAAGGAACTCACTCACGGCATAATATGCCTTTCGTAACAATATTTTTTTAATTTCTTTCTTGAATGAATTACGGTTCATGTTTTGTATGTTGATGAGTTTGTTAAATAACTTTGCACCAACATATTCTGGACTTTTCTCAAATTTTGTCAGCCTGTGTTTTGATACACTTAATGAGCTAGCATTTCTTGTAGGGTAATTATGATAATAGGAGTTCTGTTTAAATTTATAGAAGTTTTCTTTCACGTATATGAGTACTTTATAGATATACACGCAAGGAAATGTCAATATCTCTTTCTGGATGAAGGTGGATTTACAACTATCTCCAAATTTCATATCAAACATGAGCCTTAAAATTCGTTTCTGGCTGATAAATATCCTTTCGGAATTGGTGCAGTCTCCCCATAAGATGACATTATAAGACATGTGGCTATATACAAGTGAATAGTACATATCAACAAGTACTTTTCTGTCCACAGCTTTTTTTAATTTCAGTATTGCGAAAAACCCACAATTGAGTTTTTTCAGAACATGTTGTATGTGATTATCCCATGTCATATTCTGGTCAAGATATAGACCTAAAAATTTAGTTGATTCTGAATGAATAACTTCTGTAGATGCTAAGCTAGGACTATTCTTCGTACATTTGAATTGAAGGTAAACTGTTTTTTCGACATTTAGTAAGAGGTTATTAGCACCGCACCATATTCTGAAGGAATTTGTCACATTTGTCATTGTTATTTCAAGTTCTTCCAGAGTGTTTTATGAGACCACTACTGAAGAGTCATCCGCAAACATCGTGATCTGTCCATTGGTTACATGGTCAGGCATATCATTGACAAAAAGTATGAATAGTAGTGGTCCCAGCACCGACCCTTGTGGAACACCAATATCCATACAGTATTGTTCTGAAACTTCATTGTTTATTTGTACATACGCCTTCCTTTCAGTCAGATAGGATTCTAAGACATCGAGAATTTTTCCCCTTATTCCATTTCTATTAAGTTTTTCTAGGATGAATGATATTTTTAAAGTGTCGAAGGCACAGGAAAGATCAAAGAAGATGCCACCTACGTATCTGCCGGCATCGATATTAGCATATACACTTTCCATGAGTTCACATGCAGCACTCTCCGTTGATCTTCCAATACGAAATCCATGTTGTCGAGGAGAGAGTATTTTGTTTGTATCGAGAAAGTCAACAATTCTTTCGTGATACGCACGTTCAAAAATTTTGGAAATAACATTTAAAATTGTCACCTGCCTATAATTGTCTATAGAGGTGCGATCTCCTTTTTTAAATATGGGTATGACTTTACCTAATTTCAAGTTGGACGGAAAAACACCTGTTTCGAATGTCAAATTGATCAGGTATGCTAGGGGTTTTGCAATACATCTGAGAATATTCAATATGAGCATGTTCCGATAATCCCAAACAGTAGTGCCCAGTATATTTTATCGTTCCGATTTTACTGAAATTTACTGGCAACATTTTCGCGACCATTGCAAGAAGCTGTAAGAGGCTAAAAGTTTTCTGTTGGCCAACTGGTGCAAATGGTGATGTAGTGCCAGTATTCATGAAATGTTAGGTTAAGCGTTTGAATGGTTAGGTATGAGTCGAGTAAAATTATATTTTATTATTTTCAAATACTTTGGGAAAATGTATGGAAACGAACTGGAAGATCTCACAGAGGCGGTAGTCGCTGGAACTGCCTCTAATCTACAAGATGGTTTGTTATTTCCACTTTTGATATCGAATATTTCACAGCTATGCTTCATTACTTCATCACTGGAAGTAGAGGTTCTAGAGCTTGGTGTTTCTCTTAGATACAAAATTGAAATCCAAACCGTAAAGACAAAACAGAAATATGTCAAATTTTCCATCATTACTTTTAGAAAAAAATATCTTGAGAAGAACGATTAGGGCTAGTGCTAGAAAATATTGCTTTATAGGCATTCTAGGAGACAAGCTATGAGGATATTATGTGTAGATATATAGAAAATTTGCCATTCACGACCGTATTCCGAAAACTACTTGATGGTGGCCAAAATTACCTCGAAACGCATAAAAACAATAATTATGTGTAGCATATCGGCGAAATAAAAACAAAGGGATGATGATTGCTCAGACAAAACGTTGGACCAGAAAAACAATCAATTTATCAACATCAAAAGCTGCCATGAACTTCATTATCAACGCCAAAAAAAATTAAACATCCGGGAATCCAGCTTTTTTCAATGGCGCAACTTTTTTACCAATCAACCAAATCTCTCGTAGTTTCCTTATCTTGGACACGGTGTTTATCTCAAAATAAACAAAGAGAACAAAAGAAAAGAAAACGACATGTTTGCATAGGAAATACTTCCCGTTCCTCTTAAAATATGAATTATTTCTCTTCGAATAATTTTATAGACAAAATCTGAGTGAGATACAAGATACAGGTGAAAACAAGAAAATAAATAATGTATAAGATTTCCACAGTTTGGGAAGGTTTATTAAAAATGATAAATACAAAACTTCAAATTCGAAAAATCAGGGGTATACAAACTCAACTGTGGATCTTGTCCTAAAGTATATATCGGTCAGACAGGTCGTACGTTTAATCAGCGCATTCCTGAACATAAGATGATTTTTTTTGGAAAAGAAAACAAATTCAACATATGCCAACCATATATTAGAAGAAAACCATAGTTTTGATGATAATTTCGAAATTCTACACTTAGATAATAAAGGAATGAGACTTAATCATTTTGATTCATTGGAAATCAACAAACTCAAAAATTCTAACATTTTACTTAACGATCAACTAGACCTCAATAGTTCACCACTGTTGAATTTGTTTTCTTAGGAGGTAGTAATATGTATTTGCTATCAACCCTTTCAAGTTAATCCGGTTCACCGTATTTTAATATAGATATTGTGCTTATTTTCCGAAAATTAAGATTTATCGAACCTCTCCACAAGTTAGCCAAGGTTAGTTTAGTTCATTGTACCAGAATTTCACCTAACGAAGCTATTGTGTTAGCGAAACATGTCATGTGATTGAGAATTTTTCGGAAATCTTATCGTTTGTGAAGTTTTTATATTTGCCTTGGATTTCCATCAAGTAACGGCCGAGTCAATTAAACAAAAATCGTTTGAATGCACCATATGAATGATAGGTTCTTTGAATGCATACATATAAATCAATGTTTCAACAAGATTTTCAATGCTTCATTCTTATTCTCTTACTTACCACCCTGTAATGGACTTTGAGACTGAGGTGGATCAGGTCTCTTCAAAAATTTATGGTTGAAAAATGATTCGAAGTTCATCCTCTCTCTGGCATTCCTCTTTAGCAAACCCATCAACAGCTCGCTCAGCTCAGGGCTCGTACCAACAGCGATTCTTCAAGAAATATTAGTATTTTGTAATATAAAAATTGGTGTTTTTACTCAAATAACTAAAATGACATTTAGCGTACGGATATGTACTACGCTAAATGATCGATTAATTATAGATGGACAATCTATGATTTATTAAAAAAATTGAACACGTTACCATGGCAAAACAATTTCTTAAACACATTATCATGGCAACCCGGTTTATTAAACACACCTTCAGTCACTTGAGTCCTGTACGTCCTGTCAATTATAGGAACTGTCAACTGTCATTTTCGAATTTTGTTGCAATTTGCAATCGGTGAAATCTGTTTGTATCGGATTTCTTTATTAAAAATGTATGCGAAATATTGACGGAAGTGAAATCGAAGATAATGTTTCAGGTGCTTGCATATTTCCAAGGACTCTGTGTAAAAAGTAAGCTCTCATCTTTGTGGGCAATTCATTCTATGCTGAGCATCACAATATATAAATGTAAGAACATTTGTGTTAGCAGAAATTATGCAATCAGAATATGGATACAAATCTGAGAAATCGAAAACTTTGATTCCTCAGTGAATCGTAGAGTTTTTATCACAACTTCTTATTCAAAGAGGTTAGTAAAATTAATGTATCATATGGACTGGACCGAGGACTGAACAAATCTACAACCAATATCGCGTATACGTGCCTCGTTGGTTGGATGTAGTGCTATAGTATTATGTTCTCAATTCCCATTCTCTTCGAATTAATTTGTAGGTTAACGGATGGGTTAATCTAATTTTCGGAATTATGGGATCTTGTCGAAGAGAGAAATTATGAGTTCGTAGAAAAAGTATAGTATGTAAATGTGACTGTAACTGTAACACGTGAAAAAGTATTTCAAAGTCCTCTCCCCGAAGAGACACGAGTGGGTAAGTGGATCAGTCCAATTCCCAGAGACCGAACACGTAATGTACACAGATGGTTAGAAAACCCCTCTTGGAGCCGTTGTATACAGCAGTAAACCAAAGACGGAAATCTCTGTCAATCTCGGTAAGTATATTACAATCTTTCAGGCGGAGGTCTTCGCAATTGAATCGTGTGCTAGAGAGTTGACGAATAGACCTCTAGTAAACAAAACAATCAGAGAGTCAGGCTGCTCTTGAAGCACTGAGATCCAGCAAGATAAATTCCAAGCCTGTATGGAGCTGTATTGAATCCCTAGAATGCCTGGATTACTTTGCTGTGGGTGCCTGGACACCAGGGGGTGGAGGGCGACGAGAAAGCCGACATCCTCGCCAAACAGGGAACCGAATCTGGGTTCATAAGACCAGAACCATACTTTGGGATCTCCGCAAGTGCGGCCAATACAACTATCTCGGGCTGGGCGGAGGGGAAAATACTCACGTACTAGTCTGAATTACCAGGATTAACTCATTCGAAGGCGTTTCTGCCTAAACTATCGAAAAATAGAACCAGGCAGATTCTAGAATGGAGCAGGGTTAACCTGCGAATTCTGACAGGACTGCTTACGGGACACTGTCGTCCAAGATACCACCTGGGAAGGATGAGTCTGAACTAACAAACGGACTGTCGGTTTTGCTGTGTGGAAGACGAAACGACTGAACAAATAATATAATCATGCTTTTGCTTAGATAGACTGAGGTTAGACATATTTGGCATTACCAATATTAGGGGTGAGCCAAAATAAACCCATCTGGGGTCGCAGTGGAGGGGCGTTATTTGCTCCACTCACATGGAACCTACCATGTAACGCGTTTATAAACTCTTCTTGACACTTGTTTATTAACTACGAGCGCAGCAGAGCTCTGCTATGGATGAGGATCATTGAGGCAAGGAATCGACCATAGAATAGATTAGATGAGTCATACCCTATACATTACATTGATTTTGTTGACTTGAATCACGTCGACAGAGATAACCGATGATAGAAATAAATGAGCATATGTAATGTCTTCTTCCGATTCATGGATTACCCGTTCTGTACTTAAAAGGGTCATTATTAAAAATGGTGGAAAAAACAATACATTCTAGACAAGGACATGTTGGAAGACAACAAAGTAGTTTATTCACCATTCTATAATTATTCATTATTCGAAGGTGTTGGGCAACAAGAAAGCCGAATCTGTGTGTATGAATACCAAAAAAGTTCACCAAAACTCTTATTTTGGAATAACACGACCAAGAAGATTCCAAGGTGGAACATAAATAATCTGCATTTTCTGACATAATTGCTTACGTAGGAAAGATGAACCAACAAACAGGACTATTGGTTCTGCTGTGGGGGAGACATATCAGCCAAATATTATTTCAATCCTCTGAATGATACCTTTTATATTCAAATCGTTGAAATTTGGTTCCGTGTTATCAACCATAAACTTTTTTTTTTTTACCATATACAATTTGACTCATGAAATTTGTATCCAACTGTGATTGATATACCATTAGAAGAAATTTTGTTGCCAGGCAGCATTGCAAAAATATCTGTATATATTATGTGATAATTTTCTCACATATGAGTAGCTAGTTTCAAAACTAACTAAATATGATTTTTTTTGCAATTGCATACCTTGTTGGTCCCAGCACTGGGACCAAACGCCCCATAAGTCGAAACTTGTGCGGGGTTAGGTATTCATACAAACACAAACATCCATGGCCTAACTAGGATTCGAACCTATGTCTCGGGTGGGAGTCCCCATACGAACTCAGCGCCTTCACGCTCTCGACCACCGACCTGATTGATCATAGTCATGTGATTTGAATCGCGCCCTCAATCATGTATTTGAATCAATTGATTTAAATCCTTTCAACTCTGGTCAAATCCATGTCACATCAGTGTTTAAAATTTGACATTTATGACGATGCAAAACCTGTTTTGTTGCAACATCTGGGTAACATTATCGAATTAAAATTCCCAAAAATTTATGAATCATTTGTATTCAATAAAATCCAGGAATCCAGGAATCTTAAACTTTGAACTCAAATGAAAAAGATCTAGGAAATGGTAATCCTTTCAGACCTGAAATTTTTGTAGTGTCATCACTGAAGTTTCGGGAACTTCAATAAGGTATTCAGTTTGTTCACTATTGATTGATGATGGAACACATTTAGGGAATAGGAAAAATGAATGTTTATCTAGAACATGTTGAACACTCACTTTGGTGAAAGATTGGCATTTTTCTCGTAAAACTGCTTCAATGCCTGTGGTGTAGTCGCTTGAAATGGAGCTTTCCCAGTCAAACATTGGAAAACTATGGTACCCAAGCTCCAGAGGTCAGCTTTGGCGTCATATTGAAGCGACATTATCACTTCTGGAGCCTATAATCCGAGCAGGAAATTTATACCACTCAACCACTGAATTCAGGCATACAGATTGGGAATGAAATTACCGGCATATACATAGGTCTTACAATAGAGGAATTCGGGTTTGGCATGCTAGTAGAAAAATAATGTACCCAACACGTGCGTAGTGACTTATCCGCACTTGTTAGGTGAACTACTATTTCCTACGACCACCTATGGAAGCAGCATAATGGCATTGTTTCTCTGAAAGTATATCATATCACCATAGCAATGCGAAAGTATGGAAATATTCCCGTACGCTCACGTGGTCTTTGTATGGTCTACATGATGTAGGGTCATTATAATACTGAATCATAATATTTCAATACTTACTATCACTGATTCTTCTTACACTAAGACTCACATTACTTGATGTTAAGTTAATGCATAAAAGCTTCTAGTCTGTAAAAACCTGAGAAGAACCATCAATTCAGTTCTCAAACTCAATAATCTTCAAAAAAGTTTGCACATGTTGAACACTTTTGCTATCCCCATTCCCAGTCATCTGAATTGAAGTCAACTTTTTTTAAATTATTTTTCCAAATTAGTTACTTTCTTTAATTTTTTTTATTCATTCAGTTCAAAGTAGTAGGTACTAGTAGAAGATCCGAACCTACATCGACCTTCACCGAGCTGATAATAGAACGAAATATATTTTATCATGAATTTAGTATATTAGAAAACATATTAAAAATGGGTTGGCTAAAAAAATCCTGGGCAGACTATTTTTAATTATTTTTCGAAAAATTATTTTTAATTAAATGTTGCAACATCAGGATAATAAAAAAATTGTGTCCTGACTGAAAGTATAAACCGTATAGAATGTGCAGCCGTTGGGTTGTCTACTATTTACCTGGGCGAACTACTGGGTTGTCAGGTAAACACAGGTATATCGATGCCAATTACTTTCACTGGATTGGATAATTTAAAAAAATTTATATCATCATAAGCGCTGTTTAATTGCGAACACGTTGATATAGGGTTGTCTGCGAAAATTCCGGTCCTATTAGGGGTTTGCGAATTTTAAAGATTTTAATTTCAACGCGCGTGGAAGTGTGTGACAGAGAGATCCGAGGTAAGTATACTGTGTAATAATAAAGGACCCAACATCGCAGTCGCTTGTGATGGGACCCTGAATAGTAGAAAGTGTGCGAAGTGTGCGAAGTCAAATCCTGAAAACTATGGTTGGCATTTTGATGATTTCTTAAAACCAACAGGTTTTATCGGAGATCAAGGGGTTCAGGGTCCCATCACAAGCGACTGCGATGTTGGGTCCTTTATTATTACACAGTATACTTACCTCGGATCTCTCTGTCACACACTTCCACGCGCGTTGAAATTAAAATCTTTAAAATTCGCAAACCCCTAATAGGACCGGAATTTTCGCAGACAACCCTATATCAACGTGTTCGCAATTAAACAGCGCTTATGATGATATAAATTTTTTTAAATTATCCAATCCAGTGAAAGTAACTGGCATCGATATACCTGTGTTTACCTGACAACCCAGTAGTTCGCCCAGGTAAATAGTAGACAACCCAACGGCTGCACATTCTATACGTTTTATACTTTCAGTCAGGACACAATTTTTTTATTATCCTGATGTTGCAACATTTAATTAAAAATAATTTTTCGAAAAATAATTAAAAATAGTCTGCCCAGGATTTTTTTAGCCAACCCATTTTTAATATGTTTTTTAATATACTAAATTCATGATAAAATATATTTCGTTCTATTATCAGCTCGGTGAAGGTCGATTTAGGTTCGGATCTTAGACTATACTGCATTGTTTTCAAAACAGTTTTTCACAACGACATGAGCTTAGAATATGAGAACTTGCCCTGGTACGGTATAGTACCAAAGACAAAAACATAGTTGATGTTAAGTTATAGTTGAGTTAATGTCAAGTTAATGTTAATCGAATGTTAAAGGAATGTAGAGCTAATCTTAAGTTATGAGTTAACTTAAGAAGTTAATATCAAATTAATGTGGATTCAAAATAAAGTTGATGTTGATTTAATGTTAAGTTAATGGTAGATAGATGTGAAGTTGATGTTAATTAAATATTCGTGGTCGTAGGAAAAATCGTGTACAAAACTCGTTGAAAAGTGCATTTGCTGCGCTCTGCGGCTCGTGCTAAACGAAATATCTCACTTTCCGCACCAGTTATGTAATATTATAATATTTACATAAGACAGCACACAGCAACACAGCACAACAAAATTGAAGATACAAAAAAATGATTCGAATGTTACAATTACTCGAATTGCTCCATATCTTACAAGAGGCGCTAATATCGTCTAATTTGTAATGGTCATCCGTCCAAATAACAACAATCTCTTATGCTTGCGACAAGAAAAAACATAAATGGTGTAAGTAGGTTCATTTTTGATAGTGTTCGATAAAATTCTGATAATTGAGTTGCTATTTTCATTTTAAAGAGAATTCATACAGCGACATCTATCAGAATAAGATGTCTCAAGATCCTTATATTGTGCTCGATATTGTGATTTTCGATTGTTTATTGCTTTCAAGTTTTGACAGAACAAAAACACATCAGTGCAAACACCATATACTTATAAACATCTCAGTAACACGTGCTCCCTCGCGAATCTGGCGAATTTCGTTAGTCAGAAGCTGCTTTCCTCAGATCCGTTGGATGTTGCCAAGTGACAATTTTGTATCCTATTCTGAATACTTTCAAGCATAGAAGCATTGCTGCCGAATTCTCAAATTCTCTTTGATATCAGGAAATAAAACCGATGAAACGAACATAGATTAGCTATTTCGGTGTATATTTGATACAAGTATATCGAACTATTCGATGTAAGGGAATTCTTGAGGAGGCTCAGCTTCCGTTGCCTCCTCTGAGAAACCGCTACTGCTCTTTTCGTACCCTTACATAGATCACCAGGTAATTTTGTGCTGTTCGATTGACCACAGTAACTTTCGTCAAAACGAACTGAAGATCCTATATGCCGGGAATTTTACTCAATACATCAGTATCAGCGTACAAAAGGTCGTGTCAATTATTTTACTTACCATATACATCGGACTACCACAGAGTGTAGCTGCCATCACACCATCTTGTAAAAATCTTGCAAAACCAAAGTCAGCTGAAAAATTTATGAATTACATTATATTTTCTTTATTGAATTCTGATGATTGAGGGAGGGCCGAATTGGACATTTCAAAGGTATAGTAAAATTAGAATTAAAATTGAATTTTTTTTTGGGACGGGAAAAAAGTCACTTTTCATAAATTACTTTTTTCCCGTGGGAAAAAAGTGAGTAGTTTTCCTTGATCCATTCATTGGAATTGGTTATTTTTACCCCAAATATAAAGTGTGTTCGCCTTGAGACTCACCAGTAAAACCTCAATTTCATGATACAATATTAAAACATAGATCAACAAGATATAGTCCAAGAGCCGGGGTTGACCAGGGCCTACTCTATCTTACCGGGCCAGAGCATCGCTTTCGTGACGTCACACTAGTAGGGACAAAATCAACGCAGTGGAAATTGTCTCTCCCGTTTCATTGATTTACCTCGGGAAAACGGTCACAGTTAGCGAAAAATATCAAGAGGTCAAATATGTACAGAAAAGAATTGTCCAGAACATGAATCAAATTTCAGTAATTTACGATCATTAATTTCAGAAATATGACATATCAAAATTAATTGACGCCATTCAGAATTGTCCTTTTTCAAACAGCTACCAAAATTCCAATATTCAATACACAGAAATGATTCAATCATGAAAAGATTCCGCATAGTATCTAGATTGACTGAGTTTTTTTTTCAAATTCCCAAGAGCCTACAACAAACCGATATTTCAATTCAAGTAGAACGATGATTCAGGTGTTCATTACAGAATAGTTCAAAAAGTTCGGACGCCTCCCATGCTAATCCTATCAACTATGGATATATGCTGTCACTGACTTTTTTGTAGGAAATTTGATTGCCTACAAATCGGTATAATACACATCCACTTTATCTCGAAGGGTTTTAGCAGCGTTTATCTCTAAAGATGATCAGGACGCACTTTGATGACGTTAGAAATCCTATCACTCGAGTGTGTTATTACACAAAAACGCCTATTCCGTATTAATTATTTTCTGCTGAAAAGTATATATTTGAATGATAACGTTCAATTCATGAAAAAAAAAATTATTTGAATATATTTGCAAACTATGAAAATTAAAAAGAACAAAAGATGTGGAGTTCACATGAACACAACCTAACAAAAATAATTGAAAAAATATGTACCTCAACAATGAGAGAAATAAAAATGAATATAACGACTGAATAACAAAATACCCAGAACAACGATATATAAATGAATAAGGAAAAAATTAAAAAAAAAACGTTGAATCCTTATACACAAACAAAACCAAACAAAATAAACTGTAAAAATGATCAACATAACAAAATAAAAAAAAATGATAGATATCACAAAATGAAATACACTCATAACAAAAAATATATACATACATCATCTTAATCACAAACTAAAAATTGAAATCTGAACTATATCTCTCTATATCATTTGCAATGGTTTTAGAGACTGTTCTGCTGATTCCATCAAAAGACCCACAACTGCAACATTGATTCTCGGAATAATTGAGAAGGAAATTGATTTTAATTTTTGCTGAATTCTCCAAAACTTCATGTTGTGACTTACATTGTAGAAATAGCGTTTCGAATTTTTCACCAATATTAGTTGGTCTGAACCATACGCCATTTAGAAATAAAATGAGTAATGAAAAGTATATCGCCCTTTACCAGTCCAAGGAATTACAGCGAAATTTGGGTAGGTAGGTATAACGGCCCATTTTTTACGCGCTCTTTATATTTAATTTCTTTCGGACTCATTGTAGGTAACTCTACAATTTTTTAACTATTCAATTGATTCATTATCTTAGTTTGATATTTTGAGTTAGTTTCATCTTATTCCAATTCCAAATTTGCAAAAAATAGTATTCTGTAGTACAACGTCCTGATTTTCAATAAAATGGAATTTCGTTACAACGCCATAACTCGGTATTGATTCATCCTATTGGATTCATTTTTTCACCAAAAGTTGAGGAATTTGTTGGGGATCATTTCGTCTCGATTGAGTGTGCTTCTAAAATTAATAGTAAATGAGCTATAGCCTATCAATTACGAACGCACCAGTACGGACTGATGTGAAATCTCAACCTACTAGTGTGACGTCAGCGTCGAGAGAGAGGGGATAGACTACGGCCCGGTGAGATATAGTAGGCCCTGGGTTGACGGTCATCTGATAACGAAATGGCACCTGTGCCAATTATTATCCTGAGCAAAATGATTGTAAAATTGCACTTACCTGAGCGATAATTTGCACTTAATTTCGCGATTTGATAACGATATAAGAATTATAATCTGAGTCAACTCCACGGCACAGCGATTTATTTGTTGCCGTTATTGCAGACAAACTTCCGTTATGTGATAACGAGTTGAAACAAAAAGCAAACTTAGCTGAATTAGTGACAGGGCGTCAATATTTCCGCAAATATTTCGCCCCTGTCCAAAGATAATATGCGATGGATCAGTGTAAAACCACATTGTAAAACGCATGTGGTGCTCGCACCAAACCCTCAGGTTGAGTTTTACAGTGGTTCATCGGATATTATCTTCTGACAGAGGGGAAATAAGATACGTTATTTTATTCAACGATGGCTCCTCCACCAACTGCGTTCATATATTCTTTGGTGGATTCCAGTTTGACGTAACCACGCGTTCATTTATTACAGTTGTGTCAACCAAAACTGCAAACCATTCCACCGATGTACAGAGATGATGGACAAATTTCGGTGGCTTCCGAAATGACAGCGACAGCAAAACCTCAAAAAACTAAATATTGGATTTGAAAGCTATTTGCCATCTGCCTAAGTAAGAATATTAATGAATTAATCGAAATCAGTCTAAAAAATGGAATTGTTTTGATATTTTGCTTCGTTTCCGTGGAAAAAAATTTATACCAATTCATTGTATAAATTTGTGCAAAACATTCCTTGAAAAAACAGGGGTGAAAATATATGTGTGATCCTTGTCCATAGACATAGAATAAGAATTAAGATCAATTTTTTCCCAATATTTCATTATAGATGTTTGACACACTTTGTATTATTGAAAACTACTCCTTCCTGGACCGAGAATACATAGTTCTCAATATACAGAGTGTAGAGTGTGTTAAACATGTATCATGAGATATTTGAAGAAAATGAATCTTCATTCTTATTCTATGTCTATGGACACGGATAACGCATTTATTTTCACCCCAGTTTCTGAAGGAATTTTTTGGCACAAATTTAAGCAATAAATTGGTATTTATTTTTTTCCATGGAAATGAAGCAAAATATCAAAACAATTCAGGATACTAAAATGTTGTATTCTTAGTTGGATAATAGGTTATGAAAATACGGAATTCAAAAAAATCGGTGGCGCACATTTTATTGACAATAATATTCGGTAGGATGCCCCCGGAAAGCTACTGGATTTCATGATTCCAATCGAATTATGGCTATATCAGCCCCTCATGACAAAAAATATTATTGCCAAATGTAAAGAAAATCGGTGGATTTTTGAGATATTCATAAAAACCGATTTTTTTTCAAGTTCAACACACTGTATGTTGAAAACTATGCATTTCCGGGCCCACGTATGAACATGTAAAACAAATTTCTTATTATATCATGTAGAATCATCCCCTTGATTTTTTGCGCATAATTTCCGGACACCCTGTATACTTGAATATTTCGCCCCAGCCATGCGTATTAGAATAGTTGTAGTGCGAGCCCAACATGAGTTTTACACTGGTCCATCGGATATCATCTTTCGACGGGGACGAAATAGTCTCGGAAATATTGACGCTCTGCCACTAACTTAGATCAGTTTGAGTCGCGACACGTTTGAATATTCGCAAACATGACATTATTCCTTTTCATTTGCTTTTTGGTTTAACACGTTATCACATAACGGAAGTATGACCGGAATAAGGGCAGCAAATGAATCACTGTGCCGTATATTTGGCTCAGATTGAGGGGTGGCATATGTAGGTTCTTAAGATCTACCATTCAATTGCTACCGGATGGCATATTTCTTATCTCGTTATCAAATCATGAAATTGAGTGCAAATTACCGCACAGGAAAGTGCAATATTTCAATCCTTTTGCTCAGGATAGTGATTGGCACAGGTGCCATTCGATAAAATTCAATACTTTCACAATTGTTTTACTCGCAGTTACGTATAGGAAGATGCGTCGTAGCACGTATTTCCACCATGCTTTTGACCAAGAAATATGAAACAGTTCCAAAGACTTACCAATTTTCAATTTGATCTCGGAGGGTTGAGGATGTGCCTTTGCTCCGCTGTGTGACAAGAGAATATTCTGTGGTTTCAGATCCCTATGAACTATTCCCTTGGCATACAGAGCTCTCATTGCACCAGCTGAAATGGCGATAAAAAACATAATTTTACATGGTGTTCGAAAAGTCAGGACACGGAAAATATCAGGGAAACGAGTATGACAAAGAAATGAAAAATCCACGTGTTTGATGATTCAAAAAAATCAATACATTGATAATAATAGTTATTTGTTTTACTAGGCATTAGGTCTTCTTCTCTGCCATATGAAACTTATAATTTCATACATCATTTTGTGCTCACCCAGAGTCATTGTCAATTGATTACCAATTTGATTCAAATCATTACTTGGAACGTTCCATAGCAACAAACTTGCCTGGGCAGTAAAAGTCGAGGTAAAAGTAGACCTTTCATGCCTGATAAGTGTCATTGAAAAGCCACTTTTGTGTCATTCGGCAAAAAAGTTTTTTCCATACACTCATTGATATATTCAGGAAGGAAAAGTTTGACCGGATTTAAATAAAAGTTCTCACACTGAATTAGAAAGATTCAATTCAATAGTCTTCGTTAAAAATGATATTGAAGAACGTTTTGGGTATTTTTTCTCAAATTAATTCAACATATCCGAACTTACCCAACTGAATCAGAAACAGACGGATAGTATCCTCACTGAGTGTCCCTTTCGCTAAAAGATCACATAATAATTAACACAAATAAAAATATATAGTGAACAAAATACTGATGATGGTTCATATTATTGTGTATACTGTAGATATATACTCACCATGCAAATAGTCTGCTAAATCTCCGCCATTGCAATACTGAAAAATAATAATAAAAAAAAATAGTAATTCAGCAACAGCTCTAAAATATCAAAATGAATCATCTAACTTTGAACAAGGCTTAACATACTGTTAGGGGAATTTCGATTTCAAAGTACTTGATGCCATACTTTTATAATAACATTTCTATAATCCAACTAGGAAAAAAGCCGAATACTCAAAAGTGGAATGCAATGGTCACAAAGAAGATGAACTCGAAGTCATTACAACCATAGTTCATGAAATGAACGAAAATGGTAGATAACGAGAGAAAAACAACTACTTTCCTGGCTATATGCCAAATAGAAAGTGAAATTACGTAGAAACAATTTCATGGCAGCCTACATTGAAAATTGAAACATTAACATTTCAGGATGATAAATGTCAAAAAGTAGCAATGTACTCCCAATCTATCAAAATAAGTGAATATATACCAGGTGTCCCATTTAAAATAACAAAATAACCTACCGAAAACAATTGGATACGTCAAATAAAGCTTATTTATGTGCTACACTTACACACCGTATTTCATTTGTTTATCTGCAGAAACAAAAGCTATGGGAAATATGATACGACCTGGATAAGAATATACAGGGTGTCCCATTTGAAAAAAACATATTGGCTTCATTTTCTGAAAATGAGCGATTACAGAAATGAATTGAGTAAGCCAATGTATTATACCCAGAAAGTTATACAGGGTTAGGTAACAGTATGGACACAGGTGAATATCTCGGTAACCGTCTGTTAGAACTGTCTGAATTTATGTACAGGGTGATTTCAAATCGTGGCAGAGTTGAAAAGGTTATATGCAATGTTGCCACTTTTAAAGTTATTCCGGAACTACACACACTGGCACAATTGGGGAACGGGTAAAATTTACACTAAGTTTGACATCAATTTTCTCTCGAACCGATCACTCGATTCAAATTTGTTTTTCACGAATTGTAGCTTCATTCTTCACGAATACATCTGGGAAATAACCACCTCCAAATGATTCGTCTTTATATCATATACAGGGGTGTAAAGAAAGTACGGATTTTTCGGTATTCTTTAAGACATCCTGTGGAGTGAACCACTGATAATTGAAACGATTTTCCAATACCAAATTATGGCCCAATCTATCCCGAATATTTTTGTTTTTTATTCATCTTGATATCCCAATTATCCAAGAAAATATAGAGTTTCAAAGAAGAGGTGGATATTGGTATTAATTTTACCACCTCGAAACTCGAACTGGGGAGAACGTGTCGTTTTTCAACTTGTTTCTGTGAGGATTTTTACTTCAAGATGAGAATTGTTCACAGTTTTACCTATCGGTTCACTGTTTAAAGACACATATACGAATACTCTCATGAATATGCAGGGGTGATAAAAGTTGCTCCAATGTTCTTTTGGTGAAATGCTATTTTTGTTAATCAACGTTGGCTATTTTGTTAATGTCATTAATTATTGTCAAAGTCAAGCGATTCACAATTCATAAATTTGATTAATGAAAATTCAACGTGAGAGATTTGACTCCTACTGATGTGGCGAGGGCTGTAGCATTGATTGAAAATGACCAGTGGGCCAATGTTCTTTTAACATAATTATGAGAGCCGCATCTGCACCAATTCAATAGATGACAGGGAATGACTATATCGCCGAGGTGAACAAAATGAACAATTTGATTTTACTGCTTCTGTCTCCTATGGCAGAGGTTTAGTCATGGTTAGGTTAGGTTAGTCTAGAAACCACACATTATCAGATCCAATATGAGTTTTGAGGTGTAAAATTGATACCAATATCCACCTTTCCTTTGAAACTCTGTATTTTCTTGAATAATTGAGATATCAAGATGAATAAAAAACGAAAATATTCGGAATAGATTGGTCTCCAATTTGGTGTTGAGAAATCGTTTCAATTATCAGTGGTTCAGTCCACAGGATGTCTAAAAAAAATACCGAAAAATCCGTACTTTCTTCACACCCCTGTATATGATGGAAAGACTCATCGTTTGAAGGTAATTATTTCTCAGATGTATTCGTGAAGAATGAAGCTACATTTCGCGAAGAAAAACATTTGAATCGAGCGATCGGTTCGAAAGAAAATTGATGTCAAACTTAGTGTAAATTTTGCCCGTTCCCCTAATTGTGCCAGTGTGTGTATTATCAACTTCCTTATTTTAAATAGAACACTGTTCTTCATTCGATTTTCAGATTATCCCTGAGAAGCCGATTTCATCGATCTATCACACTTGGGGTCTAGCGGGAATGTTTACAGAGATATAGGGTGATCAAAATCGAGATTTTTCCACTTCAGGATTTTTTTGTGTCAATACTATTCATTATGGGTCAAAATAACTTCCATGTTCCCATCTCAACTTCTGATTTACTATCTACTGACATTTAATTGGGAAAAATACAGGGTGATCAGAATTCTGAATCTTCTACCACTCTGTATTTGTTTCAATTAAAAATGGCAATAGTCAGCAAATCAGAAGGTAAGGTGGAGATATGGAAGCCGTTTTGACCAATAATGAATAGTTTCGACACAAAAAAACATCGATTTTGAAAACCCTATATCTCTGTAATCATTCATGCTAGACAACCAGTATGATAGATCAATGAAATCACCTTTTCAGGGGGAATATGGAAATTCAATAAAATACAGGGTGTTCTATTCAAAATGAGTTCAATAATAATTTTGGAATAAGTGAAGAAGTGGCAACATTGGCCATATCATTTTCAAATTCGCCACGCTTTGAAATCACCCTGTACATAAATTCGGAGGAATCTAACGAATGGTTACCAAGATATTCACCTATTTCTATACTTTTGCCTAACCCTGTATAGTCCAAGAAATAGATATAAGAAACATGAAAAATACTTCATAAATAACGAGGTGATTTTTATGTCACGTTGAGCCGACAAACGACACGTACTCATTCCTTTTTTATTGTGTAGGGGAGATAGGGAAAACTACTTTAAACCTTATGACATTTCTTACATTCTGAGTATATCTCCGAGTATATCTCATTATGAGTGAGAAGGATCGAATTTCGAATTTTACTTTTACAAAAGAATATACTAGGTAATAATAATCCTAATTTTCAACTAATTCATAAATTTGAATTTCCTAGTTCCTAGGAGCTAAATATGTTGCCTAGCAACATACCTATTTTTTTGTCAGTAATAGAAACGTCAATTTAAGAGCTGATTTTGGTATCAAAATTGACGACTTTTGTGTCGGTTGCAGAAAAACAACATTGTAACGGTTGGTTATTTGGGTTGAGACGCATACCTGATTTGTTTCCGATTTCAGCAGATTTGGCATTTCATACCCATGCCGGAGATATAAATACACCTTATTATAGTTAAGTATTGGAATTATAAACATCTCGGTTAAGTATTTTTGTTTTGATCAGGGAAGCCTTCAAGATTCAAATACTTGCTTGATCTGTATTTCATTCGTTATTCTCGGGATGGATAACTTGTTTTTGAATAATCACGGCAAGCAATAGTTTTTTGTCTCAAACAACGATATTGTTTAGATGCATTTGATTATCAAGTCAAACATAGTGTAGTATGGAGAGGAATGAATAATCACTATTATCATTGTTGATATGCTCACTAACCTAACATTTTCCACGTCTTGTTCCTATAGCGGCGCGGTATTTGCCATTAGAGCACCTGGTCCATACACAAATATGTCACTCTGTGGTTGTATTTATATTTAAACTACAATTCGAACATCCTAGAAAACCTAACCTGCTGTTAATGCATTGTATACATATGGCACGGCATTGGTGGTTACTTCACATGTTTATTTGAGTTAATTGTTTCGGTTGCAGAAAAAATAGCATGTTTCATTCGGATCAAAAGTGACTTTGTTCGACTCGCAAATTTTGCTTCCGCTCGGCTTCGCTAAACGCTCCGCCTCGCAAATGCACAATTCGCTTGTCAAACAAAGTGTAACTTTTGATCCTAATAAAACAATCTACTATTTTCTGCAACTGACTCAAAAGTCGTCCATTTTAATTCCAAAATTAGCTCTTGCAGTTGACGTTTCTATTACCGACACAAAAATAGTTACCTTTGTTGCTAGGCCACACCTTAAGTCCATAGGACCTAATGATGAACTTCAACTCCTAGGAACTAAAAAGGATGTTCTTTCTGTTGACATGATGGATGTCAACACAAATTGTAACAAAGTGAAGTAGTCTGAGGCCTTGTTTGTATCTACTTTCTCATATTACTAAAATAATCTGTCAAGTGAGTCACATTTGGTGGTTACTTCACTTGCCTTCATTTTAGGTAGTTGTGAAGTCACTCATGTTAATCAATGTTAATCAATATTGCAACAGTCATTGATCGAGTCATTGATACTTGCAGTGCATCTGACCTTGATGAAAGCAAGGTTCGGCTGTTTACCTTTAATCAATGATATACAAACATTTCAGTTGAACTTTGGAATATGATTATCTCCCCAAGTATTTTCTTACTTGTAATCATCAGGGCTGGCACGAATTAATTCATATGAATTGAGTCAGTTATTCAATTCGTGAATTAATTCAAATGACTTTTTTCTAATAAGTCGTGAATTAATTCAATATTTATCAAATGGGAACAAATCTCATTATTACCTTCAATTTAAACTAGTTTAAAATTGAATAACCGATGGCATCTGACAACTGACAGCCGGGAAGCACCCACACACAAAAAACTAAATTTTCTAAGAGCCGCTTTACAGTTTACAATATTTCGTTGCATGCAATTGATTGCTCCAATTCATATTTCCGGTAAAAATGATATGAAGGCTGTTCAACACTGAATTGGAATTACCGGCTTGCAATGTCTTTTTATCATAGATTCTGTGTATTACTTCTCACCGAGTTTTGAGTTGGGTCAAGAGTTGGGTAGAAGAAACCATGAGAAAGGCAAGAAAAGTAAAATCCAATGTGCATCTAATAATGCATGAAATTCCGAAAATCTAACAGGTCACCACTAGAATTGCACCAGTAA